AATATTTATATTTATATTAAAGTATAAAATAATTTAATTTCTTATTATAATATATAATAATATTATTAAACTTAAAGAATTTATTATTTTAATTATAATAACTTATTTTTTATTATCAGGTTATATTGTTTCTATTTTTTAACTTTATTAAAACTTATAATAATTATTTTTATTATAATAAAACTTATTAAAAACCTAATTTTATTAAATTTATAAATATTAAACTTTATAATATTATATTTTATAATTATATTCTTTCAAAACATAAATTAATTATAAATTATAATTAGATTTTATTACTTAATTCTTTAATAATTATAATTTTATTAAAAATATATAATAAATATTAATTATTATTATATAAAGTTTTATATTAAATATATATTAATATACTTACTCCTATATTTAATTAATAGTTAGTTTACTATATTAATTATATTTTTTATATTATAAAAATAAGTTTTTATAAATTTTAATTAAAAAATATATTTAATTATACCTTATTTCAAATTAATAAGTTTTTTTAAATTAAACTTTAAATTATATTAATTTATATAATTATTATATTTATTATATATTATTAGTAAGGGTATATTATAAATTATTATACTCTTTTTAATATTTAGTTTAGGGTTTCTTTAAGAGCTTTAAAGGTAAAAGTATTTCTTAACTCTTTTAAAATATTTTTTATTTAAAGGTTATTAAGTAATTATAATATTAAAGTAGGTTATAATAAAAACTAGGTAAAGTATATAACTTCTTTATTTATATAACGTTTTTATTAAGTATATTAGTTTTAGTTAATAATAATAATAATTAAGACTATATTAAAAAGAAAAAAAAGGAAAAAAATAAAGAAAAAAGTAAAATATATATTAACTTTACTTTAAACCTAAAATCCTTAATTTTGAAAAAAGTAAAATAATAAATATCTTAATTCTATAAAAATACCTATAAACTAACTTTAAACTAATATAAACTTTTTTTTATTTAAGTCTAATATTATTTACTAAAAAATAAATCTCAAGTATTTATTATATTTCTTTTATATTATTTCTATATCTTATTTATATACTTACTAATTCTCTTATAACTTATATCTTTAAGTAAATTAAATATCTTATTTTAAAGACTTAGTTTAATAATTTTATTAATTTTATTAATTTATTTAAAGTTAATATTATATTATGATAATTTTATAATAATATTATATTTTAGTTACTTTAAGCTTACTTATAATTCAAGATTCAATAATAAATATCTTCTAGACTAATATTATAAAAATATTCAGGTAAAATAGTATTATAAATATCTTAGCTATAAAGAAAAGTATTTAGCTTAATCTTTTCTATATATTTAAATCAAGAATAAGCTAATATAATAAAATAGATTTTATAATAAAATTATATAGCTTTTAAATTAAAGCTATAATAGTTTATATACTAAAAAGAATTAAAAATAATAATTTTTTTTAATTTAATATATAAATTTTTAAAGGTTTATAACTAATTTAAAAATATTTATTATATTATTAATATTATCTTTTTAAATATTTAATTTAATATTTATTATCTATAAAATTAAGTTAGTTCTTTTTTTATTTTAAATAATATATTAATAATAATAATCATTAATTTATATTCTTTTAATATACAATAATTCTTTTAGTTTTTATTATCTTTATTAATTAAAACTATTATAATATTATAATTAATAATTTTACTAATTTTTTAAAATTTTCTATATAAAAAAATAATAGATATTAAAGTTTAATAAAGGTAATAAAAATAGATACTTAAGGGTTAAGAGGCTTAGGAGGGTCTAGCTAATATAAGGTAGGTTAGTATATTAGTAATTACTTTACTATAAACGCTAATAAAATATACTAGATAACTAACTCCCTTTATAGGTAAAAGACTTAAGATCAGGGCACTAAGTACCTACCATTTACTAATTCATAATAGACTTCAATTTTATGTTAGTGCCATAGCAGCTTGGTTGTGGGGCATGGTTTCGTCCAGCGTGGAGCTCCCGGTTCAAGTCGAAAGACGAGGTGGCTAACCAGTGGTAACCACCCGAGAGATCAGAGCTGTGTTTACGAATACCCCTGCTCGACATTTATCAGATCCCATCACTCTGCCGCCAGCTTAGTCTAAGCACCTTATTGCGCCTTTCAACGTTCAACCTAGCCGGCATATCTAGCAACCTCACTGCGCTGGCCCAACTTGACCAGACTAGCTTCGTGGAGTTTCGTACTCGCCCCGGTCGCCTATGAACAGGACTTTGATCAAAGTCCTCAAAGTTGGAAGCCGAATTCCAGTTTTGAACACGCGACAATTTTTCACGGCGTCTCTCAGAAGTGGCGCATGCACTCGCCAGAAAAATCTTATCGCTACGCTTCTGTGTAAAGTCGAGATCAAAGCAAGCGTCCCGAAGTATCCGAGCGAACAAAAGCACACACGGCAATATACTTCGCGCGCTCTTCGAAGCAGCTTCACGCAGTCGCTCATTGTAATCGCCCTTGCTGCGTCGACCGCGGCTGTATACTGGAGCCTCTGCTCGGACCGAGCTGAGATCGATCATTTACTTGACTGCTCCTCGCTCTCCACCATGGCGACCATCCAGCCCGATGCTGGTCATTTCGGCAACCTCTCTGCTGAGCAAGAGAAACGCCTACAGGAATTTTGGCGGGCTGTTGCTGGCATATCTGGCTGGTCCGGAAGCGGTACGGCCATTGCGCAGAATGCTACGAAGAAAGCTGCCGCACCGGTACCACAGTCAGAACAGAGCAGTGGCGGATGGGGTTTCAGCATGTTCCGAAAGAACGATGGTGCCGATCCTGCCGGTAAATCTGCCGCCGAGGAAGATAAGTTTGGCCTCAATAAACGATACAGTGAGATCCTAGCCAAACAATCGGCTGAAAGCATCCGAGAGTCCATCTGGGAGATGACAAAGCACGATCACCCAGATGTGCTCGCGCTACGCTTTCTTCGCGCACGTAAATGGAACGTCCAGCAAGCCCTCGTCATGTTCATTACAGCTGTGGACTGGAGAAAGAATGAATTAAAGGTGGACAGTGAGATCATGAAGAGCGGTGAGGCTGGCGCTCTACACGACGAGCAAAATGGCAGCGGCGAAACGAAACAGGTGGGGGCAGATTTCCTCGCGCAACTTCGCATGGGAAAGAGCTTCCTTCACGGTACGGATAAGGAGGGTCGGCCGATTTGTGTTGTTCGTGTTCGGCTACACCATGGCGGGGAGCAAAACGCCGAGAGTATTGAAAAATACACGGTTCATGTTATCGAAACTGCGCGTTTTCTTCTTAGTCCACCGGTTGAGACAGCGGTAAGTGGTTCATCTGTTCTAGACCGTGGAAATATTGCTGAGCACTCATACAGACAATCATTTTCGACATGACAAGCTTCACTCTGTCTAACATGGACTATGCTCCTGTCAAGTTCATGATCAAGTGCTTCGAGGCCAACTATCCCGAATCCCTCGGCGCAGTACTTATCCAGAATGCCCCCTGGCTATTTCAAGGTAAGGCGACTCCTGTGTCATCTTCTGGAACTATCTAATGCATGGAAAAAAGGTATCTGGCGTGTTATCAAGCCTTGGTTAGACCCAGTTGTCGCAGCCAAAGTTCATTTCACCAATGGTAGAACTGGTTTAGAGGAGTTCATCACGCCAAACCGGATCCCCAAAGAACTCGAAGGCGACGAGGACTGGGAATATAAATACATTGAGCCCGTGGAAAACGAGAATGCCGCAATGCAGGATACTGCTACTAGAGACAAGATTCTCGGGGAAAGATCTTTGCTTGTGAGAGGATTTGAAGATGCTACCAGGGCTTGGCTTCGTGAAAGTGGCAGTGAGTACGGTAAGCAAGCTCGCGAAAGGCGTGATTCCATCGCAGCAAAATTGAGAGACAACTATTGGAAGCTGGATCCCTACATCCGCGCCAGATCACTTTACGACCGCCAGGGCGTCATTGGTGCTGATGGCGCCATCACCTTTTATCCGGCTGCAGTGGCATCTCAGAAATAAGACCGTCTTGATAAGAAGGGGTCTGCATGGTACCAACGTTCTGCCACATTCTCCACAAGCAGAATTCTAGTTGTAAATCAAAAGCTCACGGTTAGCAGCATCTCTTGGTTGCGCTATGGATTAAAAGCGGTCCTCTCATATAATCTCACTCTACTCCTTACGCTCCGTTCTTCTCACCATGCCTGCGCTCTGAAGACACCGGCCCATAAATCACAGCAATTGGCCTTATCACATCTTAGTCTTGATCTCCTCGCAGAGAGCTTTGAGCTTATCCATATCACCGGCAGAAGTGGGCCAATTGATACCGAGGCCTTCTGTCTCACTCGGCTTGGGAATCTGGATCAAGTCAGCATGTACCACAAGGATGAAAACGTATGTTATAGGTTGAATTGAAAATACCATGTGGAAATGAACCTGAATATAGAAAAATTAGTAGTTGCATCAGGGTGGCGATGAAGTACAAACGGACGAACTTACATGATGAACTTGCTGGTGAGCAATGGTCCCATTGTTCTGAAGAATATTATAATCAGTAGCTCCCGTTGCGGACACCAGCTTCTTCAGAGTCGGCTATGACATATTTCGTTAGCAATCGAAAAGTTCGAAGTGGCTTGAATTCCGCGGAAGCTTGCTCACCAGAATTTCGGTCAACTGGTCGTCGGGAATGTCTGCCAATTTGGCACCGTGAAACTTCGGAATGACAAGCTTCATTTTTGAATGTAAGCGAATTTTAAGGCTGTGAATAGCTGGAACTTACTGCGTGCCCTTTACTCAGGGGGCCAATATCGAGGAATGCAAGTGTCTTCTCGCTTTCAAAGAGCTTCATGCAGGGAATTTCACCTGGCAAGCGTATCAGCAGCAGTCCTCAACGCTGCCGAGGGGGGAAACTATATACCCTTGATGATACGGCAGAAAATGCAGGCCGCCATATTGTATGCCCAGGATTGAGAAAGCTTTGTTGTTTGGCCTACGTGTTCGTTCGAAATAGCATGATGAGGAAGCTTGCGGAGGTGGCAATGGCTACCTGCCTAGCTAGCGACCGGAAACTCAGAGAGCGACTGTGGGGCTCGTTCAGATGGGGTAAGATGGAGATATGCGGACCGACTCACTTTACTTAGCGTACCGACCACGTGACATTCTCCTGAAAGAGTACTTACCTATTACAGCGCACCACACTAAAATCTAGGTGCCGCAGCAGACCAACGGCATTAAGAGAGTTCTTCACTAGCCACGCACCAAAAATGCGATTATTTAGGGAATTAACTGCCTACGAAGCCTTATACGCCTCGAGTGCCCTTTAAAAGGCCTCATGTATGTGCGTGCGTGTACGTGCGCGTGCAGGCGAAGCAGCAAAATCAAAGCTATTTATTAGCTACTTAATTTTCTATATAGAATACACTACGATACATGTACTGAGGAAAATCTCGTCACGTGGTCGGTCCGCTAAGTAGAAAGAGTCGGTCCGCTTAGCATATCTCGTAAGATGGTCGGCCATGGGGCATTCAACACGCCGACGAGTCGCTGCGACTTGCGTTTCTATCGAAGACACTTGCCGGCAGCAAAGAATTATGACGACCAGAACTGGGCAGACTTGAATCCCGTCGCGAACCAGCTTGACGCTACTTGCCAACCCGACGCAGTAGCGAGAAAGTGATAAGAGCCTGGATGATCTGCAAAAAAGGCATATATAATGCAAAATAGTTATTCTCCAGAACGGAGTGGGACCTTCCACCGAACTCACCTCTTGCCTTTTACCAGATGTGACCGTGGGATTGGCCCAACGAACTCCACTCTCCCAATCTTTGGCAATATTCATCTGGAAGTTCCAGGTTCGAGTTTCTTTTTGTCTGTGCCAAATCAGAGGAACTAAGCTACAATGCCCTATTCATTAGAGCAATGACCCTGATGGTCTATGTTCACATTTTTAGCCACGATTTAGTCGGTCGAAATATAGATGAAAATACTAATCATTTTTTTTGCGATGACAGGTGCTGGTGAGCTATGACGTTTGCGATGTGACTGATGTATTTTCAAATCCCCCACATCACCCCACTTCCCACCTAGGTAGGTACGGGTGGCTGTGCCTCTTTCAACCAACATCTCGGTTACGGCAGCGCCCAGTGCTGTGCCTTAGGCGATTACCTGTCTACATAAGACGCGAGACTTGCTATAAAGTTTCTTCAGTGTTTAAGGGAAGCATCATATAGCCCGTACACGCTCCTTTTAGCCCCTGCTGCCACTACGTCAAGCTGCCTCAGAGAGCAGCAGCAACGACTCAAGGCCATAAGCATGTCCAGCTTTCTCAGCACCCCGCTGTACGGTGGTGCCGTGGTTTGTGATATCCCAGAGAAGTTTGCCGACGTTAGGTAATGCTGCTACTCTCCGAGAATGGCTATGCAATTACTAAGTGCCCTTCGTTTAGCAAGCTACGACAGGTTCCAGACAATCAAGAAGTATGGATCGACGAGGATGGATTCACCAGTATCATTTTTGACGTGACTGAACGCGTGGGAGAGCCAGGTAGAGGCTCCGAAATTGATGGCCGTGCTATTACGACACATCTTCAGGAGCTTCTTGGGTCTGGCATTGACGGCGTCAAGATCTGGAATACAGCAGAGACCGAGTTCAGTCGTCTGGAGTAAGTGATGTGTTATGTTGCCATATGACAACCCCTTTCTAAAACATCAACTCTTTAACATTTGGTACAGATCGAAATACCCAGCGTATACACTTATTGCGACGCAGACGCCGAAATCGAGCCAGTCTAGAGAGCGATCGTCCGCTCCTGACTTCACCGCCATCATAATGACCCTTCTGCGACTGGAGAAATACAAGACAGACATTCTTATCACGATTAATGTTCCTCATATCAAAGGCGAATACAACGAAGAAGACGTAGATCTACAGCTAGGGAAGCAAGGCAAGCTCATAGGTGATGCTGTCGAGTACTCTGCGCGTATTTGGAAGTCATTCAAGATCAAGGACTGGGATCTCTTCGTCATCGATGATTAATCTCGTCCATGGCTTGACAGTATAGCGAGGCTAGGTCTGAAAGATATGAGCATTCTCGCGTAGTGATATGCTTTGACTTCAAGTGACCAAGACAGAAAGTCAGACCGCGAGTGAAAGGTAATAGTCGTCGAAATCATACGGGTCTGACTTGAACAATGGCTTTGATAGTCAACAGGTTCATTTTTATCTGCAGGTAGTCATAATACAGTATATTTACAATAAAAAAGCTGCGCATCCAACATGCCCGAGGCATTCATTTCTCTCCCAAGCCGAGACCATGTAGCTTGGCGGTAATATCACCAACGTCTTCTTGTGCGTGCTGTTGCCGTGTCGAATTCAATCTGTCGGCCCATTTTCCTGCTGCCATTTTCATGATGACTGTCTGAGGGCTTCCGGGGTTGTCTCGCTTCAGGGATTTCATTTCCTCTTTAATGAACAGTTGATACTCGCTAGGTTTTCCGCCAATTCTGGGGACAGGCTTGATTTGTGTGAGATTGCCTTTGCACCCACTGCACCGATGTTTCTCTGGGTTAATGCTTTTTGAATGCCGTTTATAGGTGTATGAGCAACCTTCACACTGCCACACGTACTTGAAGTCAATCTCGTAATTGTGCTTCGTTGTGACTTTGATCCCCCGACTGGCAAACGTTCGCGAACACTTTGCTGCCCAGAGCTTGAAATCTTTACCATGCGGCTTGTCCGTCACGCTGCTGATCATGAAGTTGGCAAGGTGGCAGAATTCATGAGCCAGCACGTTCAAGAGCCTGCTTTCATCATCAATGACCTTCTCTGCAAGCTCAATAGATGCATGATGATGATAGGTGATAGTAGCGTCGGATCCGTCAGAAGGGATGGTACGAATAGTCTCTTTTCTCCAGTTTGCGCGCCCGGCCGTTGTGTTGAGGTTCTTCGACCATTCAATCTTGACTCCTCCTGTCGACTTGGAAAGCTGGGCGATCTTGCCATCCGTAATCTTGTTGTCCAGCTCGTTTAGGAACTCGACAGCCAGCTTAGCCCTTGCGGCTTCGAAGGAAGATTTGCTAGATTTTGTCGGGATAGACTGCTTGATTGGCGACCGCATCGCTGCTTCGACAGCTTTGCGGGGGCTTTGTTCATCATTCCAGCAGTCGACCAGACTCTGCCTCCAGAATTCGTCCTTTGTAGGAGTATGTGGTCTTTGTGGGATGCCAAATGTTTTCCGAGGAGATTGGAGGGGGTCCCATGGAACCGTCACTCTGGCATCAGAGATCTCGCCGTCATGGCCAAGTCCATTGCCCCATAGCTGTTCATCAACCAGCTGCTCTGTCAATTCGAATTCATTAATAGTCGCTTTGTTCGTTGCATTCAGATGCTCTTTATCGATTGGCTGCGGGACGTGGGCTCGTGCGTGCATGAGTTGCCGATCGATCGTATCGTCGCTTTGCTGGCGGACGTTGACACTTCTGGTTGTAAGTGGCAAGGGCTCGCTCTGCATTAGGACTGCTTCTCCGCCGGTACCACCTTCGACTTGTGTGATTTGTGCCTCGGTCTCGGGGCTGGCCGTCTCGGCGAAAATGCTGTCTTCTAATATCGTGATGCAAGTGTCTGGCCTCAAACGAGCTATACGGTGGGAGGACTCGGTGGGTTGGTTCGCAAGCTGGAGACTGGCGGGGAGTGTGACATCGCCGATGTCCATGTCGGAAACTGATGATGAGGACGAATCGATATCGGGAAACGCGGCACTCGGGAGCATGGACTTCACGACTGTGGTGTTGGCGCCTTGTCGTGTATGTTTTCTATTGACTAGAAAAGCTTCTCCAGTCACTGATTCAGATCTAGGTTTCGTTCTCGAATCGGTCTTGCGAGGGGATATATTCTTGGAAAACTCTAGGACTTTCTTGGAGCTCTCGGCAGTCCACGGCTGAAACAGAGGGTTGGCGGCAGCGAGTCTCTCGCCATTCAATCGACGAACTCTGCGTGTAGACGGTTGTGCCGCAGACCGTGGCATGAGTTCTCTCCTGCGCATGGGAGTCGTGGGTGTTTCCGAACATGTCTTCAGGGACTCTGGCTCCAGCTCGGCGAGCTCGTCATGTTCATCATGTTGTGCGTAATGGTCTTTTAGTCTCGACATGCTGCTTGTTGTGGCTTGTAGATACTGCTGTGGGCTGTTCTGAGGTAGTGATATGAATAATATGGGCGTAATTGTCGACCATTTCCTTGGCCTACGTGCACAAGAGACGTCTATGTACTTGTGATGGCATGTTATTTGTGTACGTTGCCACGGCGACTACAACAAGGCCTTCTCATCACGTGATTCTGGTACAGTCATTAGGAGTGACCATCACGTGCTCTGTGCGTTGCACGGGAGGGGCTGGCGGCCCTCAGATGGGGTTTTCCGAGGCTGGGGCTTCTCATGCTCAGCTCTTGTCATTCGCGCTGTTGTCACATGTTTGCATACAATAGGTCCAAAAGGCTATCGTCACATGCACCAAAACACACCTCTAACACTCCTTAATATATATTATAATAAAGATAGTAGAAGTCTAAAAGAAATCTCAAAAACCGTATATATAATTAAAAAAAGGGGATTTATAGTCTAAAATAAAAATTAGTTTATCTAAATTTCTTAATTAATTAATTTTTTTTAAAAAAAATAATAAATTCTTTTTTTATATTATTTTTTATTATTTTTTATTATAAATTTTCTATAAAAAGACTTCTTCTAATCTTATTTTTATTAAATAATAGCTATATTTTTCTAATAAAATATAATAATAATAACTATTAAATAAATTTTCATATTTTTATATTTTTATATAAAAATCTAAAAGTAATATTTTAAATTCTAGAAACTAAACTAGATATATTTAGGTAGAAAATCTATTATAGTAATAGGCTTTTAGAACTCTACTATAGTTAAACAGTAAATACAAGCGTGACTACCCGTAGTAGGATAGGTACGCTATATATATAATAAGGTGCTACTACAGCCCGCTAACATACCAAGAGACTAGGTGTATAAGTGACATTATCACAGCCAGTACTGATAATGCCTGTTGACACATTGGCACACTGGTTGACAATGAGAGAGAAAATTTGGCCAGGGGTGGACCCGCTTTCCAGTGACAGGATCGATCTCATGCTCTCTCAGCTGCTCACTGCCAATGCCGAAGAGGGCGCCAGCGCTATTTATGGCGCCGAGACTAACTAGAAGAAAACTCTTCCAGGAATGGGATACACCGTACTCCGTACCTCTTATGATACAACTGGAGAGACGAATCCAAGCGGAAAGATCCCTGCCAAGATAGCGCGAACCCAATTCCCTCGCCCTATAAACCTTCCCTGGCTATTCGAACCGTCACACTTGACGCTGTCTTGACAGAAACGAGGGGCGCGCTTCAATGGAAGCCCTCAGATGTTCAAGTAGGTAGGCAGGCAAGTGTTGTAGTGCTTGCAGAAATCAAATGCTCAGCTCATTGCTTATCTACCAATAGCTCCGCGTCGCCCCCGGAATCGCGCAAGCCGCGTACGGAGCAGGAGTCAAGCAGTCGCACGTCGCAGTGTTCAGTGTGGCCATATGTGTGGAGGCATTTTTGACCACTCAAAGTCTAGCTATCTACAGCACTGGCGCGCGTGAGTGGGCAGTGGTCAGACTCCCTGTTTGCCACTAGTGCAATTGGTTGATGTTCCCTGCAGCACTCAATTCAAGGTACATAGGTAGGCACGTAGGCTGGTAGGCGCAGGGAGAAGCTCAACCAGAGCGTGCAGAGGCACCTTATCAGGTAGTTTTACGAAACCAAGTGGACTGTGCCCCTGACGCCTGAGTGAAGCGAATTATTTGGGAATGCCACAACTCCTGCCATATTAGGTCCATATTGAACCACATCGCAGCTTACTGCAGTTGGGCTTTCGTATAGATGGGCACAAATGCAAGAACAGCGGACAAAAACGGTAAAGGGAACGAGTCGAACACGGTCATGTGTGATCGGGGTCGTCCCTCAGACAAAAGGTCTCAGGCAAAGGTCGAGCACAATTCCGGCGGTCGATCCTCAGCCATCGACTTTTCACTTCTTCTGCCATTCCCATTTTTTCATTTCACCTCTGGCCGTCCATCAACGGATAAGCCGGAGCTTGTGGGTCGCGGCGGACATTCCCCTGAAAGAAAGGCTGGCACCCAGGTACATACCAGTAGGTACCTCGCTAGGTGCCGTGCATACCTATTTTAGGTACTCCGTATTCGGCACTGCAAAGGTACCACCTAGGTACCTTGGGTAGGAGTGCAAGGGAGGGGCCACCGATACAGAATCACAGCACCGCCACATTCCCCCCTGGCCCCCTTCTTCCCAAAGATTTCTCGACGGGATTACTCGTTCTTCGTCTTTCAACATATCCCCGGATAGGAGACAAGGCAAGACAACTGCTCTTCATGGGCAACACTCTCCTTCGCTGTTCTAACCGCTATCCTGATATACACACTGTGTAGAAATTGATCTCTCCTTTTTCTTGTCAACATTCGTTCTCCAATCGGAGTCTTGCAATCAAACAGGCAGTTCCTGCCGTCAACGTTCGCTTCCTGCGTCAGTGTTTTCTCGATAATCGCGGTGCTGTTTCCGTTCCTGTGGCTTCCTAATCGCATACAGGTGGCCCAGGCGAACCAGGTCGAATTGCTACCAAGCTTCAAGAACCCTGCTTTTTACGCGCGGATCTAGACACTGCCCAAACAGTAGCAAATGCTGTACGAGAATCGCACGTATGTCAACTGATCGGAGCCATATCCTACTGCGCACAATACTCATTCGCTTCTGGCAGGTAACAATAGCAAGCAATATGTCTGGTTATCAAAGTGGTCACCACGACCAGTATGACCAAGGTTATGGCCAGGCCGGACATGGCGACGGGTACTACCAAGATGATCAGTATTATGACAATGGTCATGGCGATCACGGTGCCCATGGCGCTCATGGTGCCCAAGGCGATGGCTACTACGATGAATCGTGAGTGACCACAGTATGCGGCAAGTTGTTGAGATTACCTAACCTTGAACCAGCGGATACTATCACGCCGATGCCAGTAACCCGTATCATCAAGACGGAGGCTACTACGACGGCCATGACCAGTATCAGGATGATTACTACAACAACAACAACAATCAGGGCTATTACGACGGCGACTACAATCAAGGATATGCACAGGGTGGTCGTCATCAATCAGAGGAAGAATCCGAAACATTCAGCGATTTCACGATGAGGTCTGACATGGCTCGCGCTGCCGAAATGGACTACTACGGCCGTGGCGATGAGCAATATGCTGGATACGGAGAGGGTGGCCGTGGTTATCGCCCACCGTCTTCGCAGATGTCGTACGGTGGCAACAGGTCTTCTGGCGCCTCGACCCCCAACTACGGCATGGAGTATGGCAACGGTTTGCCAAGCCAACGTTCCAAGGAACCATACCCCGCTTGGACATCTGACGCCCAAATTCCCCTTTCCAAGGAAGAGATCGAAGATATCTTTCTCGACCTCACGTCCAAATTTGGATTTCAACGAGACAGCATGCGCAACATGTATGACCATCTCATGACACTTCTGGACTCAAGAGCGTCCCGCATGACACCCAACCAGGCGCTCTTGTCCCTTCATGCTGACTATATTGGGGGTGACAATGCCAATTATCGCAAATGGTACTTTGCGGCCCACCTCGACCTGGACGACGCCGTCGGCTTTGCCAATGCCTCTACGAAGAACAGAAAACGCAAGGCCAAGAAGAGCAAAAAGAAGGGTGCTGATGCTGCGAACGAGACAGAGACTCTACAAGAACTCGAAGGCGATGATAGTCTTGAAGCCGCGGAGTATCGCTGGAAGACACGCATGAATCGTATGTCGCAGTACGATCGCGTTCGCCAGATCGCACTCTACTTGTTGTGCTGGGGCGAAGCTAACCAGGTTCGATTCATGCCTGAATGTCTTTGCTTCATATTCAAGTGCGCGGACGATTATCTGAATTCACCGACCTGTCAGGCTCTTGTGGAGCCAGTCGAGGAGTTCACCTTCTTGAATAACGTTATTACACCACTGTATCAGTACTGTCGTGATCAGGGATACGAGATACTCAATGGCGTTTACGTTCGCCGCGAACGTGATCACAAGCACATCATTGGCTACGATGATTGCAACCAACTTTTCTGGTACCCCGAAGGCATTGAACGTATCGTACTCGAGGACAAGAGCAAATTGGTTGACTTGCCTCCTGCGGAACGCTACCTCAAGTTGAAGGAGGTCAATTGGAAGAAGTGCTTTTTCAAAACCTACAAGGAATCGCGCTCGTGGTTTCATTTGTTGCTCAATTTCAACCGTATCTGGGTTATTCATCTAACCATGTTCTGGTTCTACACTTCACACAATGCACCATCGCTCATTACCTACAAGTACGAGCAGCAGAAGGACAATCAACCTCCTGCGTCAAAGCAGTTCTCGATTGTTGGGTTTGGTGGAGCTATCGCCTCGCTCATCCAGATTTTTGCGACGTTGGCAGAGTGGGTGTATGTTCCGCGTCGTTGGGCCGGAGCGCAGCATCTTACCAAGCGGCTCCTCTTCTTGATCGTCATACTCGTCCTCAATGTTGCCCCAGGTATCAAAGTCTTCATGTTCCATGCCAACGGCAAGGCAGATGACCCGGAGAAAAGAAACTCCGACACACCTATCGACAAGGCTCTTGGTATTGTGCACTTCGTCATCGCTATCTTTACGTTTCTGTTCTTCTCGGTAATGCCTCTTGGCGGTCTCTTTGGAAGCTATTTGACCAAGAAATCCCGGCGGTACGTTGCTAGTCAGACCTTCACAGCCAGCTATCCTCGTCTGACTGGCAACGACATGGCTATGTCGTTTGGTTTGTGGCTCACTGTCTTCGGTGCCAAATTTGGCGAGTCCTATGTGTATCTCACACTCTCATTCCGTGATCCGATCCGCTACTTGTCGATCATGAAAATCGAGTGCTTGGGCGATAAGATGTTCGGGTCGAGCACTGAAACGCAGCAGATTCTTTGCAAGCATCAACCTACAATTGTTCTTATTCTCATGACCTTCACTGATCTGATTTTCTTCTTCCTCGACACCTATCTCTTCTACGTCATCTTGAACACTGTGTTCTCCATCGCTCGCTCTTTCTACATCGGCTCATCGATCTGGACACCATGGCGAAATATCTTTTCGAGGCTCCCGAAACGTATCTATTCCAAGGTGCTTGCAACGACTGACATGGAGATCAAATACAAACCCAAGGTTCTGATCTCCCAGGTCTGGAACGCCATTGTCATTTCGATGTATCGTGAGCATCTTCTTGCAATTGATCATGTGCAAAAGTTGCTATACCACCAAGTCCCCTCTGAGCAGGAGGGCAAGCGGACCCTTCGCGCCCCGACCTTCTTTGTCTCTCAGGAGGATCACTCTTTCAAGACCGAATTCTTTCCCAGCCACAGCGAAGCTGAACGTCGTATATCATTCTTCGCCCAATCTTTGTCCACACCGATTCCCGAGCCCGTCCCAGTTGATAATATGCCCACGTTCACTGTCATGATTCCCCATTACAGTGAAAAGATCCTTCTTTCCCTGCGCGAAATTATCCGGGAAGATGAGCCCTACTCCCGTGTCACGCTTTTGGAATACCTCAAACAGCTGCATCCGCACGAATGGGAATGCTTCGTCAAGGACACGAAGATTCTGGCGGATGAAACGGCTCAGATGAATGGCGAACCAGAGAAGAGCGAAAAGGACACAGCAAAGAGCAAAATTGACGATTTGCCTTTTTACTGCATTGGCTTCAAGTCCTCTGCCCCAGAGTATACCCTTCGCACACGCATCTGGGCATCCTTACGTTCCCAGACTCTGTACCGCACCGTATCTGGTTTTATGAACTACAGTCGCGCCATCAAGCTCCTCTATCGTGTCGAAAACCCCGAAGTTGTTCAAATGTTCGGTGGAAACTCGGAAAAATTGGAGAGAGAGCTAGAGCGGATGGCCCGCCGCAAGTTCAAGCTTGTCGTTTCTATGCAACGCTACTCTAAATTCAAAAAAGAAGAAATGGAAAACGCCGAATTTCTACTTCGTGCCTACCCAGATCTTCAGATTGCTTACTTGGATGAAGAGCCCCCCCTGGCTGAGGGCGAAGAGCCTCGCCTGTACTCAGCGTTGATTGACGGTCATTCGGAAATCATGGAGAATGGTATGAGGCGCCCGAAGTTCCGCGTCCAGCTCTCTGGTAACCCTGTGTTGGGTGATGGTAAATCTGACAACCAAAACCACGCGATTATCTTCTACCGTGGTGAATATATCCAACTTATTGACGCCAACCAAGACAATTATCTGGAAGAATGCTTGAAGATTCGAAGTGTTCTCGCAGAGTTTGAGGAGATGAAGCCAGATAACCAATCTCCCTACACGCCCGGTGTGAAGAACGACGTTCACACACCTGTTGCTATTCTTGGTGCGCGTGAATACATCTTTTCCGAGAACATCGGTATTCTCGGTGACGTCGCTGCTGGAAAGGAACAGACGTTCGGTACCCTCTTCGCCCGTACCATGGCCCAAATTGGTGGTAAACTTCACTACGGTCACCCTGATTTCCTCAATGGTATTTTCATGACAACACGTGGTGGTGTATCGAAGGCCCAGAAGGGGCTGCATCTGAACGAAGATATTTTTGCGGGTATGAATGCACTTGTCCGTGGTGGACGCATTAAGCACTGTGAATACTACCAGTGTGGCAAGGGTCGCGATCTTGGATTCGGTTCTATTCTCAACTTCACAACGAAGATTGGTACTGGTATGGGAGAGCAGTGGCTCTCTCGAGAATACTATTACCTCGGCACTCAGCTTCCTCTCGACAGGTTTCTGTCCTTTTACTACGCACACGCAGGCTTCCACGTCAACAACATGTTCATTATGCTGTCTGTTCAGTCATTCATGCTCACGCTGATGTCAATCGGGGCTCTTCGACATGAAACGATCCGCTGCGACTACAACCCGCAGAAACCGATTACCGATCCGCTGTATCCCACGAAATGTGCCAACACAGATGAGTTGATGGGCTGGATCTATCGTTGCATCATTTCCATCTTCTTCGTTTTCTTCATCTCCTTTGTGCCGCTCATTGTTCAAGAGTTGACAGAGCGAGGTGTATGGCGTGCTGCCCTGCGTTTTATCAAGCAGTTCTGCTCCCTGTCACCGTTCTTCGAAGTGTTTGTCTGTCAAATCTATGCCAACTCAGTCCAAGCGGATCTGGCATTTGGCGGTGCTCGATACATTGGCACTGGTCGCGGCTTCGCAACAGCCCGCATTCCCTTTGGCGTTTTGTATTCGCGTTTTGCTGGACAGTCGATCTACTTTGGTGCCAGGTTGCTGATGATGCTTCTATTTGCTACTGCCACTGCATGGCAACCTGCTCTCACCTACTTCTGGATTGTTCTGCTCGGGCTCATCATCTCACCATTCCTGTACAACCCTCATCAATTTGCCTGGACTGATTTCTTCATCGATTATCGCGACTTTCTTCGATGGCTGTCGCGTGGCAACTCACGCTCACACGCTTCCTCCTGGATCACATTCTGCAGACTTTCCCGCACCCGTATCACTGGCTACAAGCGCAAAGTTATGGGCGATGCCTCGGCGAAGATGTCGGCCGATGTCCCTCGTGCTGCTGTGGCCAACATATTCTTGACTGAGATCCTCACGCCGCTACTGCTTGCTGCTACCACAACTGTCGCCTACCTATTCATCAATGCGCAGACTGGTGTTACAGATAATGACACCAATTCAGGCGTATCGCCTAGATTTCCAATCGGGCCTACTGGCTCATTGATTCGGTTGGCAATCGTGGCTTTCGCCCCCATAGGCATCAACGCCGGCGTTCTTGCCGCCATGTTTGGTATGGCTTGTTGTATGGGACCAGTATTGAACATGTGTTGCAAAAAGTTCGGTCCTGTTCTTGCTGGTATCGCCCACGGTGCGGCTGCAGTCTTCATGATTCTTTTTTTTGAAGTCATGTATGTTCTAGAAGGCTTCAACTTTGCCAGGGCACTTGCTGGCATTATCGCGGCCACCTGTATCCAGCGATTTGTTTTCAAACTGATTGTGTCACTTGCATTGACCAGGGAATTCAAAACGGACCAGTCCAACGTCGCTTTTTGGAACGGAAAATGGTACTCAATGGGTTGGCACTCAGTATCACAACCAGCTCGAGAGTTTCTTTGCAAAATTACGGAACTCAGCATGTTCTCTGCTGATTTCATTCTGGGACATTGGATCCTTTTCATGATGGCTCCACTTGTCTTAACTCCTCAAATCGATAAGATACACTCCATGATGCTCTTCTGGTTGCTGCCTAGGTATGCTGACTGATTACGATTTGGTTGACGTCCATGCTAATGTTGAATGTAGTCGTCAGATTCGTCCGCCCATCTACTCCATGAAGCAGTCAAAGCTCCGCCGCAGGCGTGTAATTCGATTTGCCATTCTTTACTTTATTCTCTTCGTCATCTTTCTGGCACTCGTTGTTGCCCCTGGTGTAATCGGCAAGAAAGTACTCGGTGATATGATTTTCAATGCCCTAGGCGGCGGTGGCTCAAACGGCATCGGCGGCATGCGCCTCCTGCAGCCATGGGGACTGGACAACAACAATACTGAAGGAAGGACTGAAACTGGCACAAAGGCCGGTGGTGGTGATGCGGCTGCGACATCTACGGACGAAGCCTCGAAGCTGCGCTTATTTTAAAGCCGCGCGCGTTCCAAAAGCAGATGTTTTGGGTCACTACAAATTACTGTACTGATTATTAGATTGTTACCCTTGTTTGTGCCATCATTTTGATCATTCATCTCAGATAGGGTTAATACAGAAGTTCTGCCTGGTAAGGTTCACCAAAATTCGAAAAGTCAGGCCTGCACAGACCAGTCGGATTCGGGAATTGCCACGCATTGCACTGTGTACCAACGACCACCTACCTAAGAATTCTCTCGAGCCACGGGTGCAGACCTCATGGGCGATGTAGTCCTTAGACAGACAACACTCACCTGCCTGAAGAGCTACTCGATCTGCGCGGTACCTTGAGTACCTAGGTAACGACACGTCTTTAATGTAATCTAGCAATCTGGGGGGGGGGACAATGAAATGACCGGTTGTGAGAAGGCAGCTCACTTATAAAATACCACGATCATCATGACAAACCATTTTGATATAATAGTTAGATTGCTAGAGAATCCAAATTGATCAAATAACTAGCCTAATCTCTACAATATTATTGTCTTCTAGCACGTAGCGTGACCAAGAACACAACAGCATCAAGCAGCGAGCGTCGGTTTTTTTGGTCAAGCGTCTCCGTACTTCTGTGGGTCCGGGTTGTACTTCGTGCCTACCTACTCCTAAGCGTCCACTTTCCAACGTTTCGCGCCTACTGAGAAACCGAGCAAAAAAGGTCTTTGACATTTGCCATCAACCAGCACACAGCAACAAGCAGCTAACTCCTTCACCAATCTACCATGGATTTCGATAGCTTGAACATGCAGGCTAACGAATTGATACACGGGGCTTCGTCGCTTTTCCAGAAAGTGCCAGGCTCTGCTGTTTTAATTCGCTACATTCAATCAAGCTATCAGAACGACCCTGTTCGATCTGCTATCGAACTCATTCTAGTTCTCTTTTTCATTCGATATCTGCTATCGCCATCCTACTCGACGCATAAGCAGAACTACGTCAAATTAAAGGAGGAGGTTTGTACACAGCATGATGTGCGCACGTGGATGATGCTGAGATGATTTAGGAAATTGAAGAGCTGGTGGATGACTGGACTCCTGAGCCTTTAGTTTCCGAACAGACGCCAATGGAGGAAATCGACAACGAGAAGCTTCCAATAATCGTTGGGTATGTCCTCTTTTGCGGGCGAAAGTACTGTGGTACTTATTTGACCTCATGAGTCTAATCTATCTCGCAGCCCGACCGGACCCAAAGTGAAGCTATCCACCGGCCGAACAGTTACGAACCTCGCCTCGTACAACTTTTACAACTTCAACTCGAACGAGCAGATCAAGGAAAAGGCAGTTCAGACCCTTCGTACCTATGGCGTTGGACCTTGTGGCCCGCCACAATTCTACGGCACCCAGGACGTTCATGTCAAAGCGGAGGCTGACATCGCCGAGTATCTCGGTACGGAGGGCTGTATTGTATATGCTCAATCTTTCTCTACAGTCTCCAGTGTTATTCCTACATTCTGCAAGAGAGGGGACGTCATCATTGCAGATAAAGGCGTTAACTACTCCATTCGCAAAGGCCTCCAAGCTTCGCGAAGCAACATCAAATGGTACAATCACGGCGACATGGACGATTTGGAGAGAGCTATGAAAGCTATTGTCAAGGAGCAAGATAAGCTAAAAAAACTGACCCGCCGTTTCATCGTGACCGAAGGATTGTTTGAAACGACTGGCGATGCAACCGATTTGCCCAAACTTGTCGAGCTCAAGGAAAGGTACAAATTCAGAATAATTCTGGATGAAACCTGGTCGTTCGGTGTGTTGGGCCGTACGGGCCGCGGCCTTACGGAAGCGCAGAATGTTGATCCCCAACAGGTCGACATGATTGTCGGGTCCCTCTCGGGCCCTCTTTGTGCTGGCGGAGGCTTCTGTGCTGGTGCGAAAGATGTCGTTGAACACCAGAGAATCACTTCATCTGCTTACACCTATTCAGCGGCGCTGCCGGCGATGCTGGCAATGACAGCCAGCGAGACTGTACATCTTTTGCAATCAAACCCAGAGATTGTTAATCAGTGTCGCGAGAATATCAAGACTATGAAGCTTCAGTTGGACCCTCGTAGCGAATGGGTTACTTGCACAAGCAATCCGGACAACCCTATCATACTCTTAGTCTTAAAAGCTGAGGTGATCAAGGCACGCAATCTCAGTATTGACGATCAAGAACGCATCTTGATAGATTGCGCCGATGAGGTATGTACCGCCAGCCCAAGTCAGGATTAGAAATACTAATGTCTCTTCAGTCATTGGCTAATGGCGTAATGATCTCTCGACTCAAAACTCGCATGTATGCGAATGCAATGACAGCGAGGACGAGTGATTGGTTCGTCCAACCCGCTCTCAAGGTCTGCATCACGTCGGGGTTATCGAAAAAGGATGTTGAAAAAGCCGGTGTTACCATCCGAAATGCCATCAGCAAAGTAATGACGCGGAAGTTGAGCGGCAAATCCATGTGAGACAACAGGTTGGCAACAGCCTCGATAATAGACAGTCTGATTGATGTGTAGTATCAGTTCAGTACGGTAATAATGATGTGGATGGTAGATGATCCAAAAATATATAATAGTAATTAATGCACTGAGACACTTGGCACGATTCTCTGATGCTCATGTAGGAAGCAATATTCTGGGTGACAAGGCATTGCCAGAGACCTGGCCACCGTACTGAAGCGCGGTTGGGCAAACGACGATTACTCAGTAGATACGAACCTAATACCCATTGCAATGCCTGGACCAATCGTATACGAATAGACTCGTAGCATGGGTGACACTGACGGCTTTGGGTACGACATATTGAGCCACGAGTGCGGTTGAGTGCCATGTACGGTTCAATGCGTCAAGCAAATGTCACAGGGTGCTCGATCACGGCTATTGTATTTATTTGTCTCTTTTCAACAACTGCTATTTCCAGTCGAAATCTCCTACAGATGGCAGCGCTTGTTACGTACCTACATTGGCCCCTGCCATGAGTTAACGCCGCCTAGTAGCGTGCTGCTCTCCGGAGCAGGTAGTCTTTGTTTTAGAAACGGTAAGCAACGATGGGACGAGAGGCCAAGTCTATCGTACTTACTATCCAATCTTCCTTCTTATTGGCACTCCTAATTCGTGCTTGCTCGAAACAGAGGCACCGAGTGTGGCCTACTTCACATCAATGAAGATGTGGGTCTACAATTGTTCTCTTGTCAGGGAAGAGAGAAAAATGATGATGTATTGTGTATTAGGTTGTGGGCAGAGTCACGGGCTACACCTAACATGAGCCAGCATTCCTCGCCGCTACCGCTCTTGGTCTTACTTGTCTTGGATAGTGCTGCGCGACGCAGTTCTTGAGCGCTCCGTTTGCTTGGGGTTTGACCTAAATCGAATCTTTAGCATGTATTTTAGTTCTCATTTGATGGCACTCACAGGTCAATGCATTGCTTGGGCTGCTCTTATTGATCTATGCCGTGCTTATTTCTATAATCATCTTGATCTACCGAGCATTGGCATCTCTAAAATATTTTTGTGGTCTCCTTTCTCGTATTCTCACCCATTTTTATTCCCGGCTTTTCTATGATCTCAGTTGTTTGCTCGATATACCCATTATTCAGACATGGTTTTTGGCTGAACCCTCATGGCTACCCTGACTGCTGCGCCACGGCTTGCCACCCCGCACGTAAAAAAGGTCCGAAAGTTTGGGGAAGACATCCCGTCTAACGATTAGCCAAGCTAGCTAAATTTTAAATCGCGCGACAATGACTTTTCATGGAAGATCCGCTATCTTCGACTCAAAAGTTGACTCTGCCGTCTACGTGCTCGAGGTCGTTGCCCGAGATAAAGAAGATGAGTCCACAACCGCCACTCAGACAGCTCTGGATCATACTCCGGGCCTGGTATCAGACTATCAGGTTGATAACTTACCAAACCCCAGTCAATCCACAGTTATATCGACTATTACCTCTTTCTGCACGCAGACTGTCACAGTGGCCTCTCCAACTAAATCGTCATCAGGTTGCCTTCAGCCACCTAGTAGCCACGTGCCGTCTGGTCGCTGAAACTCCCGCGCCAACCATGAATGCAAAAGGCCAAGAAGATATCGACGATGACACGAAGCAAATCGTTGCACCTGACCCCATCATCCGTACCATAGGCACGAATGATACTTGATGATCAGGTCCCAATGATGTATAAGGCTGCTTGGCAAGGGGATTGAAGCTGTTCTGTTCCTCGGTAATTGGGAGCCTTTCTATGGTCGATGAAGTCAACAATATCATTGCTGGTATCAACGGTGACTGGATCGTGGTTCACACCGTCAGTGTTGGCAATAAGCTTGTTCGACGATGGTTGAATATTCCCTTGTGACATCATCAATGCAGTAAGGTCAGTTAGTTCTACGCTTCGCGCGGCGGGATACAAGGGTATTGTAACTGTTGATACCTTTTATGGCGGTTCAGGCTGACCCAGAACTCTGTGGTGCTTCCTACTATGCGCCGTGAATGCCCATGCGTTCTTGTGATCGCACTATTACGAGTTCCCAGGTGGGATGTTGGTTATTTCAAACAATCGATCGCGTCAAGTCCGTTGTGTCCACCTCCAAGAGAGTTGTCATCACCGAAAGTAACTGGTCGAGCAAGGGACTAGCCAATGGTCTTGCTATTTCAGGCCTTTGTAACCAAAAGATGGCCTTAAAATCCATTCAAAGAGCCTTCGTCGACACTTCTGGGGACAAAATTTTCTTCTCCGCCTTCATGACCTTTGTAAGGCCAAGGCTGCGTCAACATCTGATGCTGACCGATTTTGGGGAATTAAGGCGCTGTTGCCAAATGCAACTTGTGAATGGCTACAAAGACCCCCCAATCATACTCAAGTTTTCTACCCGACCGAACCGTCAGAGCCAACTGAATCGAACTTTCTCACTAGTCAGCTACACGAGATGTGAGTGCGTGGCACATGTATATGTTTTACACCACTGGGCTAGGCCCAAGAAGTAGACGGCGTTGCTTCGACAAATTTTCCTCCTTTACATACTATTTATCATCCTATGGCTTTTTACATTCGTATCTGGCTCTTCACTTAGAGTCTCCGATTCCAACAATCATAGCGGGGATGCTGGGCTTGCTGATGAGATTGGCTGCCCCCATGATCCCACTTATCGGTGTCAAGTAGTTCGCGATGAAGTTAACCTGGTAGGAACTCAGTAATTGGACGTAGATACACATATCCACCCCGCAACAGGCGGACGTAGGGCCCAGGATACGTGTTCGCTAGTGAGAATTTACACTTGTAGAAGGTCACAAATAAAGCTGTCTAGCTCAATTATGCGAAATCTATCGTTCCATGTGGCAATCCAGTTAGTGTTCGTCCATGAAGACGATAGACTCCCGCGCCAGGCGACGAGCTCGACGTTCCAGCCCATACGTAGAGCTCTCTCGACGTAGCGAAAGAATCCATCCGAATATTGCGCGGGTTTTGCGTCGCCAGTGGCCAAAACAATGGTACCCTGTTCCTGGAAGTGCTCCATTACGGCCTCGGCGATGCGCGTCTGGAGTGTTTCGTCAACAAGATCTTCGACATATCTGCATACGGATCTTGGGCCAGTCGCGGACCAGAAGTTTACCCGCGGCGCATTGAGACCATTGTTATCGATACATTTGCGCTCCCTCACGTCCACTTGATACCCAAGTTCACGCAAGTCTTGCACATATTTAGGCTCTTTTCGACCGGGAAGAATAGAGCACCCGACATGAAGACCGCGTGAGAAGCGACCACGAACAAGTAATTCTGTCAAGAATTGTAAGTTGAGTCGTGGCAAAGGAGAAAATCTCGCGGCGTCTGCAATACGACATTTCTTCCTAAGTGCTTTCTGGAAGCCGATCTCGATATTCGACATGTCCAAAAAGATGTGAACGCCATGCAGAGAATTTAATGGAAATTTTCGCGTCAAATAACGATCTGCTGTAGAGTATGGAATGAGATTTCGAGTGAGAGATTGGTGAGCTCCTTCAACAGTACGCGCGGCGTCGAATATAGGCAATTGAAGGGGTTTGTCGGCCAAGTCGTGCGTCTGTATGCGCCTGAGCTGCGAAGTCGGGTTTTGCTGCCTCTGCAGACCGATGTGCCTGAGGCGATGCTCGACAGCCGTTAGAGATCGGTGTAATGATGCTTCAGATGTCTCCTTAGCAGATGCGTTTCCCGTTTTGAAGGATGAGCAGCCTTCGGAATCCAAAACAGAAAGTAGCTGAGTAGATGTGTAGCATGTCGAATGAGTTAAGGTGTTGGGGGCTGGCAAAGTTGTATCATATTCTTGCTTTGGTGCTGAGTTCAACGCCTGCAGTTGATTTATAATTTTGGACAGATCTCCGAGTCTAGTGCCGTCTATTGAAGGAAGTTGATGACTCAGGATGTGATGGGGCGGATGGAAGTCCATCGCGGCGGATCGTAAGCTAGCAAAATCGCCAAGCTTTGGACAAGACTGAGGCCTGGGCTGCAATGGTGTTGTTTGCTTCGACAGGCCGCTATCTTGCGTTGCCAATGCTACTCCCTTGTCATCATGATATGGCAGGCCGTCAGTCATGATGTGGAATCGAAGCAAAAGAACGTCTTTTAAACATCAAACGAGAAGCAGCGCAACTATTGCACGAGGCTGAGGCAGACATGAGTTCGCGAGTAGAGAACGTATCCTGCTGGTCGCAGTCTGCTGGACAGAAAGGTCAGCGAAGGAAAAACGACTTTTGGCGACCAAGTTTGAAGCGAAGCAAAGATACAGGAGCAATGAAGAAAAAGCACACGACAAGATTGTGCCTTGAGAAGGGTGACGGCAATAGAGAACGAGGGAGACACAAGGCTGAGCGTTGAAGATGTCATAAAATGGCAAAGTACATTACCATTATATCGGGGAAAATCCGCTGCGAATTGGGTGAGGTCTATTGCCCAATATTAATACTGTCGAATTTGGCCATTGCAATGACGAGGAGATAACTAGTGCATGAGTCAAATGTGGAGGTTGCCACAAGCTAGGCGTACTTGGCGTCGGAAAGAGTCTGACTAGGAACGGAAAAATCGAGAGTATCTGTCATAAGAAGTTATTAAACGAGTAAGAACATCGAATAGTATATTCGACGGATATCAAGGAAAATTACAGAGGTCTCGGATAGATAAGCTATAGCGTTGCAAGAAAATACATCTCTCTGCGGAAAATCACGGCCCTCGCTCTATAGTTTTCAACAATTCAACAGCATTTTCAATGGCACAGAAGAGGCAACAATACCTTTTACCGACGGGCATCTGCACTGTTTCTAGTGAGATCCAGGCTGGGCCGAATGGAGCTGCTAGAGCTCCGTCGGCGCCTCGCCCGTTGTTCACTAGGATCACCTGGCTTTAAACCAGTAGTTCTAGCGAAAATATTGATGATATCGGTCAGTGAAACAACACCAGTTAGCTTCCCAGAAAGCTGGGCGCCGGCCAGCGCAGAGGCTGGAACTGTAGCTGCGAGCGCTGGAGATGCTGGCGCTCCCGTAGAGGACGCTTGCGCAGATATCAACGGGGTTGCTGGAGCAGAGGGAGAGGGTGACGCCGATTCAACCACCCACATGCGATGTGATCTTGTCGCTACTAGTTTGGCAACAGTGTGAGCCAGACTGGAATTAGGGTTGACATAGAAAACCGGAAAGGCGTCCTGCCCCTTTTCAACGCCACGCTCATTCAGAATAACAGAAATGAAGTGCATGCAGGACGAATTAAGAAGAGGAGCGCTTGAAGTGTTCGTGAGATGGCGAACATCCTTGGTTGAAATGTTGCCAACTACGTTATGACCATTGTCAACAACGGCAACACTCGTCAGCCCTTCTTCGTTCATCGTTGTGAGGGCTTCTGAGAGAGGTGAATCAGAGCTGCGGCAGGATTAGTGGCCACGAGTGTGCACAGCAGAAATAAAGCTAACTCACTTGACTGAAATCGTTTTTTGCGTCCCTATGCCAAGATCACGTAGCATAGCGGGGTAGAGTCGTTCGATTGTTGGAAAGTTCACACCCTCATTCCAAAAGAAGTCGGCCACACGCAGCTGGCTCATCACACCAACAACATGATTGGACAAGTCAGAAATGACTATTCGGTGTATTCCACTGCCGAGAATTTCAATGCCCTGTGCTAGACTACTGCTGGCATCAAGCTGCACTGTCGCTTCTCTACAAAATATTGGTTGCAATATACGTAGAGGTATTCTTTGGTTTTTCTGGGCCTTGGATATGATATCGTTGAAAAGGGCAACTTGATGATCCTCGGGCTTCGTTAAGCCGACGACGAGGAGAAGATATGTATTCAAATCGCTGAAATCGAAAGTAGATGTGACGCTATTTGAGGTCTGGGAGTCGCGGACAAGGACGGCGTTGGTGGGGCATTTCAACAGCATCTGGACAGTGTTAGCTTCCAATATGTTCGACATCAATAATGGATAGGAAAGGCCACCTTTGTCGCATACTCCACACTGTCGTCCAGCTCGACCCAGCAAACATCTTCTGGGCAGACGAGCTCGCCAACCGTGATGTCTCTCCAATCCCGACCGCTGAATCTGTGGTTGCTATGCTTCTTCGTGGGCGGATTATTCATCAAATCCTGAACGGCGGCTTGCGTCAGTGACGGGGGTCGGTGTCTAGGGGAAGATGGCATAGTGCGCATATTTTCAGCGAAGCTCTGCCGGTGTGTGGAAATATTGACGTTGGAATTAGATGGACTGCGTCGGGGGGTTTGTCGGGTTACTGATGGAGCCGTCGTTGATGCAGGAGCTGATTGCTCGGCTAGGGAACAATCGCTCTGATCTGCAATTACTCGTGCATTAGCAGCTGGGGAAGATGACATGATGATGGTGATGTAAGTTTTACTCTGAGCTAGAGGTAGTCTCGCGTGCCACAGTGAGGAGCTTGAATTACCTATTAGCGGGGGCGGGGACTGTGGCCGTCTCCGAAACTCACGGGTTTGCGGGGCTTGATAATGAGAGGCAAAGCGAAGCGCTCATACCAGGCGTGTCTTCCTAGTTAGACCGTGCCACACACCCACCTGTTATATACACTAGCGGTCACTATACACCCGCAACTACCTTTATTTAATACGTCAGCTTTAATATATAAGAATTTTACTAATAATAATTTC